CCCCAAAACCCCAAAACCCCAAAACCCCAAAACCCCATTGGTAGCAAATAGAGTTGAAGATATTTTCATGAGGAATTATTAGTTATTTTATGATTCCTTTCCTTCTTAATTCGATATACTTCTTCCTGCTCAAGATATTTCCATTCTCGTCTTCAAATTCCTCTTCAATATCAGGTTTAAATGAGTTTTCGTAGTTGTCTTTAAGAATCTTTTGATGGAGTTTAAGAGCCTCTGCGATTTCAGTGACATATTTGAAGTGAGAGGTGTTTGGAATACTAAGACATTTCATACCGTATTGGTGTCTCCATTCTTGGAAGTGCTTGTCAAAGGCTCTTCTTCCCCAATAACTAGCTCCTCCACAGATTTCACATTTAAATTCAACTCCTAGGCCGTGTAATTTATAAAGCCAGTATGGAATAGGCTTGCCATCGGCTCCCATAGGAAGCTTTCTGCTCTTCACATTAGCATCATCCTCTTCTTCATCAGAGGACTCTACCTGGTCAACACCGATGTCCTGATTTTCTGCTTCTATTTCTTGATAAGTCTGGCTTTGCTTCTTTCTAGCTTCATTGGCTGAATTATAGATTACATCAGAGAGGAGACCTTTCATCTGGACGATTTTGGACTCAATTCTCGCAATCTCCTTCAGTTTAGCCTCCTTAGCTTCATCTTTGAATTCGTCCTTAATCCGTTCAAACTCTGTTTGAGGGATAGAGCTTACTCCTTGAGAGAGCTTATTTACCACCTTGATATGCTTCTTACCCTTTTTGTGATGGAAAAGAGATTGCTCATTAGTGAAAACCTTCTTACAAGGGCCTCAGTAAAGTATCTTTTTGTCACCAACATTTTCGACTCTTAATTTCTTGAGTTCTTCTTCCCAACCAGGCATGGACCCATTTTTCCACTCTTCTTCAAACCTCGCTTCCATATCTAGAGTCAACTTGGAGTGGTCTGTAAGAGGCTTTGAGTTTTTGAAGAAGTTTACTAAATATTCCAGGAGGTTCTCAAGATAAGCCTTGTAGGTATTCTTCTTAGCAAACACAGGGATCTCATCAAACCTCTCAAAATTCTCAATATATGAAATATAGTCGTCACTATATGGCTTTTCATTCTTCTTCATTTTCAGGTTCTGATACTCGCTGAAATTTCTTTGGAGATCAACATATTTTCCTCTCTTCTCGTTGTTGTATGGGAAGATCTTGTCACAATCCTTAAGCTCTTCTCCAAGAAGATATTCAAACATCGATTGGGAGTCAAGGTTAGATATTGGAGCAATCTCGTCGATTTTGGTATACCTATCCACAAATTCATGAACTTCTCTACATTTTTCATTAAAATTGTCCCAGACGTCGGGATGAGGATTTTGGACTCCAGTTTGGTTGATAACTTTACGCATATGCTCATCTGAGACAAATCTCTGGCCAGAGAAGATTTCGTTCTCTGTTTTCCTCCTGTTATCATAATCAAGGTAAACATCAAGAATTTCAATACTTTTAGCTTGAATCTTGTTCATAATTTTCTTAACGATTCTTTCAGCGACCACAGATTCTCTGGGATGGTCTTCTTTGTAGTGAAGTGCAATAGCAAGAGCCTTTTCAAGGCACTCCACTTCCTCATTGGCACTCCTAAGAGTCTCTATTACGCTGGAAGACATTTTCCAATTTTTAGAGTTTAAAATTATAATTCCATTCCATGAGAAAGCTAAGGGGTTTTGGGGTTTTGGGGTTTTGGGGTTTTGGGG